AAAACTAGTCTGAGTCTGGGAAGAATGAAGTCTCAGTGGAATTAGTCGTATTTGTGTATTGGGAGAGGGCTAAGAACCAGTATTCATTGATCTTAGGGGGATATGTATATTTTAAATGTAATATAGGTCCATAAAACCTAGTTGTATTATGATCCTTAGGGTAAGAATTTTTTAGAATTCAGAATTTTGTAAATTTTAGGAAAACAATATCATCTACACACTATATTAAAACAGAATTAAGGGACGTGGGAGCACCTATGATAAAAAAAATATTGATGCTTCTGTATCAAAAAAGTGAGAATATTCATAATAAACAGAATAAAAAAAGACTATGAATTGATTCACATCAATTCAGGTCAGGTTTTGTCGCCAAATTATTTCAAGTAAGGTCGGATTTTGCTGCCAAATGAATTACCAAAGGAAAACTAAAAAATTACTGTTTTCAGAGTTTGGAGATTTTGCAATTTCAGGTAAAGGATTACAGGCTTGTATAAACCTTCATTGCTGTTACTCCTCAACATGGGATACACATTTCCTGCTATTCATACAGAATAATACTGACAGCAGTGACTACCTGTGCGATTGTATTTCTCAAGAATTTGTCCTTTCACCGTGTAGTGGTAAGACTGTTCTTTGTTTGATCTGTGGTATCACTAATGACAATTCCTCCTCTTAAACTCACCATCTCCTTTAAGTTACTGCTTAAGACTTAAGATGAATTTCTCTTCAGCATGGTAGATACAAAGAATTCAGAAAGGGGAGTCAGGTCACCTGGTATACCTGCCATTTTAATGGCTGTGTGACACTGGGCCTGTCTGGGCCTCTGCTTTCTTATCTGTAAAACGAGAGAATAGGACTACATGACTCAGTGCACATTACAAGGCACAGAGTAGAAACGTAATAAAGATTTGTTTAAAGAATGAAAGAAACTAAAGACCTTTCGATTCTAAAACTCTATGAATCTGTAATTTCTGATTCTTGTTTCCCAGGCTTTGGGGCAGGTTAAACAGTTGCATAAAGATTTTGTACAGGCCACTTTCTGTGTATCCTTGCGTTGAGGAATTTACAAATGCGTGTCGCTGAATTTGATTAAACTCTGGAAAAAAGGTCATGGGATGTCATGGCTAAATGCAATTGGCTTATGTATCTCAGGAGTCTTGTTGATGTATGTGTGTGCATGTATGTGTGTGTGTGGGGGGGTGTGTGTAAACATGAGTACTAATGTGTAAGAGCTCTGATTGAGAGAATGTGGGAGACAACAGTGTCCAGATCATCTCTGAGTATGATAAGGTGAGGAAACAGTATATCAGGACACAGTGCACACTGAGTATGTACCTCACGCATCACCTTAACACTGGGGATAGCCTGATATCTTAATCCTTCAGGGTCAAAGCCTTGGTTCCCAAAGCAAAAGAAAAGATTATAATCTCCCAATGATGGGGGATGACTGACCACCTATTAGGACAGAGGTATAGTGAGAGATGGGAGCTGAAGACAGTGAACAATATTAGCTGCTGATGACCATACTAGGTGTTAATGAGGCACAGCCCTGAGAGCCTGCCCTGGGCATTGCTGGTGGCACCAGTGAGGGAAGCCAGGATGTCTGGACAGCCTGAAAGCTGGCATTGCAGAGGAAGTGACTGGGCTCAGTTGGTTGTAACAATGGCTTCCACTAGTCTTGCCATGCACCAATGGCCAGGATCTGGGTGAAGCTCATCCCTGTGGAGGAGAAAAGTGGCCAGAGGTAAAGTAATAATGTTCAGTAGTGGCCCAACATGGAGGAGTAACTCATATAGCCTACTGGTGTTGGAGGCACTCTCCCCTAACCAGTCTTTTGGAACTAAACATACGCTTGGGAAGAAAGGGAAATTATATCAGGAGGGAATCTTAACCTTGAATTTGTCTGCAAAACTGTGCATATGTGCATTTTTCTGGAAAGAATGTCTGTAACTTTCTCTGGATCTGTAAGAAAGTCTCTGGCCTCTAAGAAGCCCAGAACTACTCCACTTCTAGGAGCTAAAATGGAGACCCCTTCTTTGTACATTTGTTTCTGAAACCTGAGTGGAGCTCATCCAGAATCATAGGCACATGAAGCAGAGGTAGTCAGCTTTCTTCTGTTCAGGCAATAATTCAGTTCTATAGTTCGGAAAGTATACTTGTTTGAAGGGACACATCATTCCAGACTAGTGCTGGTTTAAAATATGTTAAAGAAATATAACACTGAAGCAAACTGAAGAATATAAACAGTGTGGTCCCATTTGCAAACAAGTATCAAAAGTCCCTCAAATGCATATATGCTTACATATGTAAAGAAAAAACTTGGAAGAATACACATTAAAAGTTTAATTGCAATTACTTCTTAGGAGTGAAATTAAGAATAGGAGTGATATAGAGACATGCACTTCTTCTTGTACTGTGTTTGATTTTTTTTTTTTCAAATATGTTACTACTTTGTAATAAAAAAAAAACAAGGAATGACATAAATAAATTACTGGATGCTGCTTGACTTATCGAAAGATCTAAAGAAACTGGATGGAGAGTTATATTTGATTTCTGATGAGACTGGAGAATTTGCAGGACCTTCCTCCCCCTTCATACCTCAAATTCAGGTTACAGTTTGCTCTTAGCACCTACTGCTCTGTCACCAAAACATAAGACTTTCTCCAAGTGCATCTTCTTTCTACCTGGGTCCCTTCTATGCCCTGAAACACTCCCAAAGCCTATTATACTTCTGGTTCATCAGCCACTGTTTCTGATATGCCAAAACCTGAGAGAGGTAATATAATTTTTGTTGTGGTTTAGTTTTTTTGCCAAACCAGCTATACCAAATACTGACAGTCAGGGCCAGAGGAGAGATAGCTCTCATTCATAGTTACCTATATTTCCCATACTAGATGTTCAGTGGCTGCATAGGGATCTCACCTTTCACCCACCTGGACAGCTAGTGATATGCATCCACAATAAGTGCAGCTGGGCTAAGCTCAGGAGGCTCCACTGGGGCTATTGGCCCATTTCTTAATGTTCCCTCAGGCTTATCAACAATGATTATTTCTGGGGTAGCATGAAGGTGGTAATATGTTTTATCTACTTAGTTTTGTCCTGGAAAGGACAATCAAGCAACAAATATTTTTTGAGTGCCATGGGAAGCCTTCTAATGATCCTCCACTCCAGGGGAGTTAATTATTCTCTCCTCCCTAGACACACTGTATTGTAATAATTTGTTCATTTGCCTGTTTCTTTTAGACTGAGGACTCATTAAGGGCAGAGCTTGTACTTTATTCATCTCCATGCCCATCCCTCCCCCTCTACCTCCTAAGCCCAGTGTCAAGCACCATGCTCAGTAAAAAATAAGGCCTCAGTAAATGTTTCTGTCAATTGAGTCAATTTACTGTATGCTCAGTATAGATGAATAACAGAGGCCCTATCTTTAAATGTCTTTCAGTCCTGCAGGGAAGACAAACAACCACAAAAAAAAAAAAAAAAAAAAGGAGGAAAATAGAGCTAGAGCTGAGGTACAAGTAAAATAAATGCCTTGAGTAGGCAGGAGAAGGAGGGTGGTTAAACACTATAGTGCCTTAGATGCTACTGTTATTCTCAAGCAAGGACTTCTCTCAGTTCCTCAGCCTCCTTGCAGTTTGGGGCTGCCTCTCCTAGAGTGCTTCCATACTCACCTCTGTACTGCTCTTACCGGGTCCTCCCTCTCTCACATGGTTCCATGTGACAGACAGGGGTACCTTTCCTCTTCATCTTCTGCCACCTTTTGCCTTTGGCAGAAGATGAAGAGGAATTCCTACCCTGATTCCACTCTTCTCATGGCTGGACCATTGGCAACCTTTGGACCTTTGTACAAATA